TTGAGTTTCTACATCATAACATCAGAAAAAATTACACAAAAATTACCAAAAAATTAAAAAAAAAATAAAATGTTAAATTTGAATGCAGATCTTTAGAGAATTGCTCCAGAAACATTTAAAGGTATGCCACATCAAAATCCGATTAAGATAAGTTGAGTTATGGACTGTTGAACTTGAGTCTTTGGACATTTTTGAGTTTCTACATCTTAACATCAGAAAAAATTACACGAAAATTACCAAAAAATTAAAAAAAAAATAAATTTCTAAATTTAAATGCAGTCTTTTAGAGAATTGCTCCAGAAACATTTAAAGGTATGCCACATCAAAATCCGATTAAGATAAGTTGAGTTATGGACTGTTGAACTTGAGTCTTTGGACATTTTTGAGTTTCTACATCTTAACATCAGAAAAAATTACACGAAAATTACCAAAAAATTAAAAAAAAAAGAAAATGTTAAATTTGAATGCAGATTTTTAGAGAATTGCTCCAGAAACATTTAGAGGTATGCCACATCAAAATCCGATTAAGATAAGTTGAGTTATGGAGTTTAGAACTTCAGCCTTGGACCATATTTTAATTTTTTTGAATTTCTACGACATCATAAGATCAAATAAATTACAAAAAAATCAAAAAAAAATAAATTTCTAAATTTAAATGCAGTCTTTTAGAGAATTGCTCCAGAAACATTTAAAGGTATGCCACATCAAAATCCGATTAAGATAAGTTGAGTTATGGACTGTTGAACTTGAGTCTTTGGACATTTTTGAGTTTCTACATCATAACATCAGAAAAAATTACACAAAAATTACCAAAAAATTAAAAAAAAAATAAAATGTTAAATTTGAATGCAGATCTTTAGAGAATTGCTCCAGAAACATTTAAAGGTATGCCACATCAAAATCCGATTAAGATAAGTTGAGTTATGGACTGTTGAACTTGAGTCTTTGGACATTTTTGAGTTTCTACATCTTAACATCAGAAAAAATTACACGAAAATTACCAAAAAATTAAAAAAAAAATAAATTTCTAAATTTAAATGCAGTCTTTTAGAGAATTGCTCCAGAAACATTTAAAGGTATGCCACATCAAAATCCGATTAAGATAAGTTGAGTTATGGACTGTTGAACTTGAGTCTTTGGACATTTTTGAGTTTCTACATCTTAACATCAGAAAAAATTACACGAAAATTACCAAAAAATTAAAAAAAAAAGAAAATGTTAAATTTGAATGCAGATTTTTAGAGAATTGCTCCAGAAACATTTAGAGGTATGCCACATCAAAATCCGATTAAGATAAGTTGAGTTATGGAGTTTAGAACTTCAGCCTTGGACCATATTTTAATTTTTTTGAATTTCTACGACATCATAAGATCAAATAAATTACAAAAAAATCAAAAAAAAATAAATTTCTAAATTTAAATGCAGTCTTTTAGAGAATTGCTCCAGAAACATTTAAAGGTATGCCACATCAAAATCCGATTAAGATAAGTTGAGTTATGGACTGTTGAACTTGAGTCTTTGGACATTTTTGAGTTTCTACATCATAACATCAGAAAAAATTACACAAAAATTACCAAAAAATTAAAAAAAAAATAAAATGTTAAATTTGAATGCAGATCTTTAGAGAATTGCTCCAGAAACATTTAAAGGTATGCCACATCAAAATCCGATTAAGATAAGTTGAGTTATGGACTGTTGAACTTGAGTCTTTGGACATTTTTGAGTTTCTACATCTTAACATCAGAAAAAATTACACGAAAATTACCAAAAAATTAAAAAAAAAATAAATTTCTAAATTTAAATGCAGTCTTTTAGAGAATTGCTCCAGAAACATTTAAAGGTATGCCATATCAAAATCCGATTAAGATAAGTTGAGTTATGGACTGTTGAACTTGAGTCTACATCATAGTTTTTGAGTTTCTACATCATAACATCAGAAAAAATTACACAAAAATTACCAAAAAATTAAAAAAAAAATAAAATGTTAAATTTGAATGCAGATCTTTAGAGAATTGCTCCAGAAACATTTAAAGGTATGCCACATCAAAATCCGATTAAGATAAGTTGAGTTATGGACTGTTGAACTTGAGTCTTTGGACATTTTTGAGTTTCTACATCTTAACATCAGAAAAAATTACACGAAAATTACCAAAAAATTAAAAAAAAAATAAATTTCTAAATTTAAATGCAGTCTTTTAGAGAATTGCTCCAGAAACATTTAAAGGTATGCCACATCAAAATCCGATTAAGATAAGTTGAGTTATGGACTGTTGAACTTGAGTCTTTGGACATTTTTGAGTTTCTACATCTTAACATCAGAAAAAATTACACGAAAATTACCAAAAAATTAAAAAAAAAATAAAATGTTAAATTTGAATGCAGATTTTTAGAGAATTGCTCCAGAAACATTTAGAGGTATGCCACATCAAAATCCGATTAAGATAAGTTGAGTTATGGAGTTTAGAACTTCAGCCTTGGACCATATTTTAATTTTTTTGAATTTCTACGACATCATAAGATCAAATAAATTACAAAAAAATAAAAAAAAAATAAATTTCTAAATTTAAATGCAGTCTTTTAGAGAATTGCTCCAGAAACATTTAAAGGTATGCCACATCAAAATCCGATTAAGATAAGTTGAGTTATGGACTGTTGAGCTTGAGTCTTTGGACATTTTTGAGTTTCTACATCATAACATCAGAAAAAATTACACAAAAATTACCAAAAAATTAAAAAAAAAATAAAATGTTAAATTTGAATGCAGATCTTTAGAAAATTGCTCCAGAAACATTTAAAGGTATGCCACATCAAAATCCGATTAAGATAAGTTGAGTTATGGACTGTTGAACTTGAGTCTTTGGACATTTTTGAGTTTCTACATCTTAACATCAGAAAAAATTACACGAAAATTACCAAAAAATTAAAAAAAAAATAAATTTCTAAATTTAAATGCAGTCTTTTAGAGAATTGCTCCAGAAACATTTAAAGGTATGCCATATCAAAATCCGATTAAGATAAGTTGAGTTAGGGACTGTTGAACTTGAGTCTTTGGACATTTTTGAGTTTCTACATCAAACATCAGAAAAAATTACACAAAAATTACCAAAAAATTAAAAAAAAAATAAAATGTTAAATTTGAATGCAGATCTTTAGAGAATTGCTCCAGAAACATTTAAAGGTATGCCACATCAAAATCCGATTAAGATAAGTTGAGTTATGGACTGTTGAACTTGAGTCTTTGGACATTTTTGAGTTTCTACATCTTAACATCAGAAAAAATTACACGAAAATTACCAACAAATTAAAAAAAAAATAAATTTCTAAATTTAAATGCAGTCTTTTAGAGAATTGCTCCAGAAACATTTAAAGGTATGCCACATCAAAATCCGATTAAGATAAGTTGAGTTATGGACTGTTGAACTTGAGTCTTTGGACATTTTTGAGTTTCTACATCTTAACATCAGAAAAAATTACACGAAAATTACCAAAAAATTAAAAAAAAAAATAAATTTCTAAATTTAAATGCAGTCTTTTAGAGAATTGCTCCAGAAACATTTAAAGGTATGCCATATCAAAATCCGATTAAGATAAGTTGAGTTATGGACTGTTGAACTTAAGTCTTTGGACATTTTTGAGTTTCTACATCATAACATCAGAAAAAATTACACAAAAATTACCAAAAAATTAAAAAAAAAATAAAATGTTAAATTTGAATGCAGATCTTTAGAGAATTGCTCCAGAAACATTTAAAGGTATGCCACATCAAAATCCGATTAAGATAAGTTGAGTTATGGACTGTTGAACTTGAGTCTTTGGACATTTTTGAGTTTCTACATCATAACATCAGAAAAAATTACACGAAAATTACCAAAAAATTAAAAAAAAAATAAAATGTTAAATTTGAATGCAGATCTTTAGAGAATTGTTCCAGAAACATTTAGAGCTATGCCACTTCAAAATCCGATTAAGATAAGTTGAGTTATGGACTGTTGAACTTGAGTCTTTGGACATTTTTGAGTTTCTACATCATAACATCAGAAAAAATTACAGGAAAATTACCAAAAAATTAAAAAAAAAATAAAATGTTAAATTTGAATGCAGATTTTTAGAGAATTGCTCCAGAAACATTTAGAGGTATGCCACATCAAAATCCGATTAAGATAAGTTGAGTTATGGAGTTTAGAATTTCAGCCTTGGACCATATTTTAATTTTTTTGAATTTCTACGACATCATAAGATCAAATAAATTACAAAAAAATTAAAAAAAAATAAATTTCTAAATTTGATTGCAGTCTTTTAGAGAATTGCTCCAGAAACATTTAAAGGTATGCCACATCAAAATCCGATTAAGATAAGTTGAGTTATGGAGTTTAGAACTTCAGCCTTGGACCATATTTTAATTTTTTTGAATTTCTACGACATCATATCATCAAAAAAATTACAAAAAAAATAAATTTTTAAATTTAAATGCAGTCTTTCAGAGAATTGATCCAGAAACATTTAAAGGTATGCCACATCAAAATCCGATTAAGATAAGTTGAGTTATGGAGTTTAGAACTTCAGCCTTGGACCATATTTTAATTTTTTTGAATTTCTACGACATCATAAGATCAAATAAATTACAAAAAAATTAAAAAAAAATAAATTTCTAAATTTGAATGCAGTCTTTTAGAGAATTGCTCCAGAAACATTTAAAGGTATGCCACATCAAAATCCGATTAAGATAAGTTGAGTTATGGAGTTTAGAACTTCAGCCTTGGACCATATTATAATTTTTTTGAATTTCTACGACATCATAAGATCAAATAAATTACAAAAAAATTAAAAAAAAAATAAATTTCTAAATTTAAATGCAGTCTTTTAGAGAATTGCTCCAGAAACATTTAAAGGTATGCCACATCAAAATCCGATTAAGATAAGTTGAGTTATGGAGTTTGAGTTCAGCCTTGGACCATTTTTTTGACAACCTCTTTTAAAACACACAAATTTCAAGAATTGTTATCACATTGAATGAACACTCAATAAGCTGTAAGTCATTTGTGTTTAAAATTCCAGTAACATTTTTATCTATTTAATTTTCATTCTGTACATAGATATTTAGCTTAAACCATGTTGCATTGCCAAGTGGATGGATCAAAAGCGGAGCAATGTGAGTGTCCTCCGATGCACTCAGAGAATTCTGCAGAAACTTCCAGTTCGATAGAGCTCCCAGCAAAAGACTTTATCAAGCCATTGGAAGTCCAAAGTTCCCTGACAAAAAACATTGAAGAGGCCCTTAAGGTGGACTGTAAGCTACCGCTGCATACTCTTCTATCACCAATTAATATCACCGATCCATTGCGTAAGCAAATTGAGATTAAGCACCTGTTAGATTTTCAGTGTGGATTGGGTGATTTATCCTTTTTTGGACCATTTATTTGTCCAACGTCAGAGTTTTCCAAAAAGGATAAAACTATCAAGCCGTATTTTATTTCGGAACTACAAATGGCTTGTGCTGGCCCAGAACTTGAGCAAGTTGCGGAGAAAACTGTAATTGATGCAAAGGAACCAACTGGTCCACAGATGAAGCTACCAGAAGATCAACCTATTAACGATTCGATTACCACAGAAAGTAATGAAACGAAGTTACCGCCGTTGGAAGCACTAAATTTTGCAAGTTTAGCAGCATTAAATGAAAAAACAAATATTCCTAGCACTGAAGTATCCAATCTCGAAGGAACCGAAGAAGTAAATGAGCCCATAAGTGATAAGCAAAACAGCCAACTACTTGAAAGTGCTACCAAACTACAGCCAAAATCGCTTGGTATCCAAATACCACCTCTGCAGATCGAAGAAGTGATTTGCCCATTAGTAGAAAACCCCAAGCCAGTACCCAAACTAGGCGTAATTAGTTCCTTGACAGGAAAGAAGTTGGCTTTAACACCTAGTGTAAGGCTCTCATTTGGCGATAATGTAACGAGTAGGACGAACATACGATCCAAGGAGATTATTCAACAGCAAGCCTCCAAATCATTAAAGGCTTTAATATCAATTTTAACATTGCAAACAAAGCTAGAGGCATCAGGTATTGGTAAACAGTTAGGTACTTACCTAGTTAATTTAGCTAACTATTCATTTCCTTTAGATAATTGCTATGTGAGCCGATTGAAACGATATGAGCAAGTAAAAAGCTCTTTAACCTTTTCAAGGGTGTTTAGGCAGAACATTTTTCAACCTTCTTTGGAGGCAGAAAGCCGCAAGATGAATATTGATGGCAACTGGAAACTGGACTCTGGGGAACCCGATTTAAAAAGTCCAAGGGAATACAAAGAACCACCACCCATGCCATACCGACTAGATGCTAGCGAAGGACTAACTTGTTATGGCTTGAGTGTCAGCAAGGATTCAGTCTTTAGTGAGGCCTCCGAAAGTGATGTATCGGACACGCAGAACAAGTTGTTTGTGATGAAAAAAACGCAGAAGGCGCTTAGAGCGACCAGATCGATGGCCGATCTAAGGGACATTCTGAATAAGGGTAGGGTATTGTTCAGCCAGCCCGTTAGACTGTTCTGTTTCAACAAATTGAGGGAGTGGAAACGGCAAGGTAAAGTACCACGTTGCCATAAGAGTCCTTACCGTTCCCCCTCCTTCTCAGGCGAGGGTCAAATCGAGGTAATCGAGCACCACGGCTCGTACCACATAGTGCTCCATGACAAGGTCAGCGGAGAACTGATCATCCACATGCGGGTGGACGAGAGGTGGCGCATCGACTACATGACCAATAGCTCCTACAGCTGCCGTTGGACCAACGTCAACTACGCCACCTGCCGCGATGGCATCCTGGAGAGGATCGCCTGCTCCTTCCGGGAACCCAGTCACGCTGCTGAATTTGTCGCCCGGGTCCGGAACAGTGCGATCCAATCACGTTCCTAATTTGTAATGATTTCCTTTCAAGCCTTCTAGTTGATTTTCTTCAGCAGTCCTTGATGTTTCTTGCTTTCGCTGGCCATAAATTTTTGTGCGATCTTTGAATATATTTTGTTAATATTGTGAAAAAATATGGAAAAATTATAGCTAACAAACAAGTGTATGCCTTTCATTTTTACATAAGAATTATGCAGTATGTATAATTGTTATTAAAATTAAGAAGTGTTATTTTCGAGATAGATGCTACAAGTTTGTAAATCTGTTTTTGTCCTTGGCGTTTTTTTGTTTATGTTATTAGGAAGCTTAAGCAGTTGTTAGTAACAAGCTGAACGCGTTGTTGCCACAACAACATTCGTATTGATTTAACAAACCACAGTTCGAAGAGCAAGATTGTTGAAAACTAATTTGCAAAGCTAAGTCGCCCAGATGAAGTCATGGAATCGGACAAGTTGAACGAATTGAACCGACAAATAAATGAGATTAAAAAGCGGATTTTATTGGCAGGTAAGTGCCTTAAGCCTTTGAACTATCAAAGTAGCAATACTGAAGTGAATCCTTACAGAGGGCCAGAAGACGGCAAATGCGGCTGAGTGGCAGAAGCAAAATCGCATCAACTGCGACACAATCAGCTCCTTGAAAAAGGACATCAAGGAACTGACTGTAAGAGCGAGTCGGCTGCGCAATCCCCTCCAGCGTCCAGTGGTCATCAAGGAAACCACTGGAGAGTCCCGCAGGGCACAGAGCTGCACCCCCACCTTAATTGTGGGCAAGGCCACCTATCCGGTGGGTGCCAAAACCGCGGATGATGCCATATTCCTCACCGACCTCAAAATCACAGAGAGTCGAAAACAAATGGATCTGTTGCGGCATCGTTTCAAATCCCGCCAACAGCACTTCAGCAAATTGGTGGAGAAATACCGAGGATTACTGGCCAACAAGGAGGCACAGAACCAGAATATGGGTGAGAAGCCACCCGAAACTCTTGAGGAGGATGCCAACAGGAAGGTAAGTAGCTTACTCCTGGACACCACAGAAAGTCAAGGTGTTCCGAAATGAAATAATATAATCATTGACCTAATCCACAGCTCGTATGTCAGCTGGAAAACGAGATCCACCGCACCAACGTGCAGTGGATGGAGGCGGAGCACATTCGAAAGAAGTATCGCTCCATTGAGGCATCCCTGATGACGGATGCGGAGCGTTTCGAGCGGAGTCTGCGGGAACTGGAGGCCTCGCTGAGTGAGCAGAAGGCGGAGATCGAGCGACTGCAGCAGGTGCACAACGAGGCGGTCGAGATGAGGGACGCGGCCAAGGTGATCCTGCAGCGGCAGGAGCAGCAGGCAAATCTTTCGCAAAAGACCAGGGAACGACAGGCTCTTGACTTCCGCAAGCAGGTGGAGGCGCGTAAGCTGGAGCTGGAGAGGATTGGACGCAAGTTGTTTGCCGAGACCAAGACTCTTGTGCATCAGGATAGCGTAGGATCCAGTTCGGGTGACCAGCACACTGCCAAAACGGAAAACGGCGAGGAGGAGCCGGTGTCTCAACTGGAGAGTGTCACCAGCGATATGGAGTCATTGTTTAAGCAGCTTATGGAGGCTTCCGGTGCCACATCGCCATTTGAGGTCTTCGAGAGATTCAGCGCCCAGAAGGAGTCCGCCGCCCGTTTGAATTACCTCAGAAAGGCGGCGGAGGCGGAGAAGGCCAATCTGGAGGCGGAACGCGAAGCTTTGAGCAGTGAACTGGAGGCCTCCAAGTTCTCGGATGTCAAGGAGAGTGAAGTGTAAGTACTCCAAGAATCTATTATTTTAGTGAAATATTAATATCAGTTTAATATCGCGTTCCTGTCCAGAAATCAAGAGGTCATTGAGCAAATCAAGAACAGCATCGCCGCCAAGGAGCTGGATCGCAAGCTGGACACTGACGAGGCGGGAAAATCAATGGGAGTTTTGAAGTATCTCAAGGAACGCATCTGCGAGATGATCTTCAAGGTGCAGGAGGTGGACGAGAGCAACATAGAGATTCCCCAAAGAAAGCTCCATGTGAGCGTAGCAGAGCTACCTAACTTTTTGGCCCATACTGCCGAGGACGAGGATTTGATAGAGGTTAGCACCAGTCCGTTTTTATAGGCTGAATGTTACTGATTGATTGATTGTGGTTGCCCCAAAAAGATACTCAAGCTGAAGATCAAGCGCTGCCAGGAGCTGAGCAAGTCCGAGGATGTGCCACCCTTCGAGATACCCAAGCTGGACATCGTCGACGAGGAGGAGGAGGAGTTGTACAAGGCAGAGCAGCCCAAGTCCCCATCCATTCAAGAGGGCGAGAAGCCACAACCCATGCCCGTTTGCTACTACAATCTATTCGCTGGCCGGGCGCAAAGAGCTGCAGGCACTTCCTCATCCTCTCCAGAACAGGCTCCAGCGGCGGGTAAGCTTCAGTTCGCTACAGCAGAATCCTTATAGGGTCTTTAATATTTCGCAATATATTTCACCCACAGTGGCCACCACAGACGATGACAACGAAGTGCCCTCCCGTAACTTCCTGAAGCGACAATCAGTGCTCATTGTGGACTCGAAATCCCGGCGAAAACCATTTAGACCCACACCCGGTGGAAGACGCAAATAAATTATGTTCAGCGATGGATTGAACTACATTGAAATCGTTTTATAAACTCAGTAAAATCAAATCCAAAATCCTTTTACGACACAGTTTAACTGAACGGATTTACATGCCTTTTGCGGTTACCAACTTTTGTGGTTTCGTTTCTTCGGGCTGAACTTTAACAAATGGTCTTTCGTAGCCCAAGAAATGGAGCAACTTTGAAAACTTTCCAACTAAGAACCCGCAATAAGATTTATTTTCTGCTTTTCTTTGGCCTCAAGTTGATGTTTATGATTTTGGGAGAGAACAACATGTAATCAGAGTACGCAGACAAAAAAGAAGTAACTTTTTGCAGATGACAAATTTTAAATAATGAATGCAGTGTCCAGAAGGACCATTTGCTCATCCATTCTTGTGCTTTATGGACGCCACATTTTCAAGGCTAGAATATCCAGCAAAAATTCGCCACAGTTACTCATTGCCTGGTGGCGATCTAATATCTTAGACAGCATCCTCTGAATATTCGCTCCGCTTGCTGCTGTTTCTGGATAAATGTCACCAGCTTCAGTCCAACGACATAACAAATAGCTGTCCTGGCGATGCATCTACTGCAAAGACAAGGACAACGCAGTGGGTAAACAGAATTTACTGCCCCCGAGGAGGACGACTTGGTCGAATGGATGCCATCGACTGGGAGCAGCAATTTTGGGCTGGGTGGATGGCCAGTTCGCTCTGCTGGTAAATGAAGTGCAAAGCGGAACAAAATGCGGACCGCGACTGTTTCACTCGAAATAACCTTTCAAAAATGGTTTACACCACTGACGCACAGTGGGCGATATGGCCGGTTTTGTGGTGAAACATGCATTTTGAGTCGCTTAAATTGGATTACATCTACCCATGAATCAACTGTATAACTACTTATTCTATGCTCATCACACGGCCAAACTCACTTTATTAAGCTGTAATTACTTATTCCCTTCACATCACACTCACTTTATTAGCTATTCAATGGCTCTTAATTTTCGCAGATATAAATGAAATGATTTGATGCTTGATCATTCTTATGATTTAATGCTCGTTGCAGCGGCGCAAACGAATAACTATTTCAGTGAATAGGACCTCAGTTTTTTGCCCACTGTAAGGGAAGGACACTTGGAAGGCAGGATGGACGTCCTGGCTTTTTCTAGTTAGCAACAATAAAGCGTCCCAGCTGACGATGAACAATCAGGAGGGCCGCCGCAGAGGCAGCTGCAAACTTCAGTGGCGATGTGTAAACAAAGATGCCGATGATCCATTGCCAGGGCCTCCAGCCGGAAGTCCACAGCCAGGACGAGCAGGAGGAGCAGGGGGAGCAGGAGGAGCAGGGGGAGCTGTGGCTGCCAAAGGGGCCAGGGGAGAGCCGTGTTGTGTGTGTCAACTAAATGTCAACAACGAGGACATAAACCACAGCAGACGCATACAAACAAGCCCGGCAGTAAGATGGAAAATGCTGGCCCAAAATGAGGGAGGGAAAACTGCGACGGCATTTCCGAAGAAGGTGGCTGGAGTCAACCGGTTGGAAAAACAAAAGCGTAGCAGGAAAGCGGAGTATCCGCCGGAATGGCAATGGCATTGGCCCTGACTGCACTGAATAAGCCCTGGACTCGAATAACTCGAGGGCAACTCAGAGGGTCTCGACTTTGTGCGGTTTTCACTGCCATCCAAAGAAAACGCTTTTCTCACTGGAATGTCGCGGCCTGCGGTTGAATTGCACTGCCTGGCCCCACCAACAGCGCTTTGTCCTCCTCTGCGCTGTAATTTACCCCTTAAATGAATATGAATTATTTTTAAAACGGAAAAATGCGAATGAATGCAGGCGTAGAACAAAGGAAATTCATTGAAAATTGTTTTAAAACGCGCAGGTTAAAGGTAGGAGGTTGATATTGAAATGAGGTTTGATCATTCCCTGAAAGGAAAAACGTTTACGAGCTGAAATCAATTTATAGTTCAGCAATGCTGCGCTTTAAAGAAGTGCATGGTGTATAATAGATTTCTCTAAAAACGGAAGCAATTCAGAGCAGAAGGGTTAAAATGGATTCAAGCAAGGACATTTTAGCACAATTTTATAGGCCTCTTAAGCTGTTAAGGAATGAGTGTTTGGGCCAAATTTTCTCAAAGAAGGTGTACAAGAAAAAGTGAGTTCTCTACCCCTATACATGCATTTTAGTACCTCATCAAAACTTCACTCTTATTGAAATTAATTTCCGAGATAAGCAGATAAGTGTAAGTGCGGAGTTAGATGGCAGATAACATAAGCACCGTCATTACGTTGCTCAGCCTCTTGCACTCATTTTGTCCACAATTTCGCCATGCTCTGCGGCGGAAAAAGTTTTTCCAGGCAACTTTCTTTTGCCATTCACTCAATGCCTTCTCCTCAGTGGGGCACAAAGCCGAAAAGTCCTTTATAGCAATTACTAAACTCTAATCCCCGGAGTGCGCCATCGGGTAATCCCCGAACCACAATTGAGGCCGAAGACCTTAAAGGGAATTAGCTAATTAAAGGTAAGTGATGGCGGAACCAAAACGGCCTTCTCCCAGCCCGGCTGCATCGTGTGTAATTGGATAGTCACGACTCTTATCCTGCCATTAGTTCCCATCCCAGCCAATGCCATACCATGTCCTGGCGCTGCCACGCCCACTTTTAGGGCAATTAAGCGATTCAATCTCCTGGCGCGTCCGTTAATCAAACGCCCATCGATTCGCAAGACAGCGCCACTAATTTTAAGCCCATCGACTAAAGGTGGGCGTGGCCAGTTCGCCTGGCAGCCGCAAACAATAAATTTGAATTTCTGCTGCCGCCGCGGAAAACTTTTTAACTGTGCACGAAAACTGCCGTGGAAAAGCATCAATATTCGGGCGGGGACACACTGGAAAAGTATGACCAACAAGTTTAATTTAATGTTTATTGTTATGTGTAGTAACTTGAAAAGTCTGCGGTAATATGCATGTACATTTTAAAAAATACTCAAACAGTTTAAAGCTACTATTACCAAGACAAAGTTTTGCCGTTTGCCTTTATAATAAGTACATAAAATTATTGCACTTGCAGAATATTTTTCTGTTGGGAAAGTTTTAAAGTAAAATGATGAGACCTATCATAAATATTTCTCTCTCTGCATCTGTGTGGGTGTGCGCTTGACAGTGTGGTAAATAAATGAGCGGATACGGAAACGGTTTGGCGTTCTCCCCTCTCTTTCTCCCTGTGAGTGTGTCCCTTTCGCCGGGTCGCCACTCGGCGAATGATAAATAACGTAATTTCTTTACAACTTTTCATTCAAATTTTCGCTACTTTTAACCGCACTCCGGGCTGCGACGCCAGCTTGTTGTTAAGTAAAATAAATTGCGATTCCGTGTAATAAAAGTCAATCATAATAATTCAATGACGCGACGTATTGTTGTGCCTCGTCATTGGGCTGCCTGCAGCCATGCCCCCGTATATAAACGCCCAGACCTCCGCCCATTGAAGGTCGTTTACTGCGCCACCCACCATACACCACCCACTGGGCTTTCATAAATACAGTTCTCTGAGGAATATTTGAATTTTTCGTTGATTCATTTGATTTCCTGGCTCGAGGACTTCAACTGAAAGATGTCTCTGGCCCAAGTTTATTCTTCACTTGTGCTTGACTGAATGGAAAAGCAGAGCAGCAGCACTGCAGCACCATAATTAGTTATCATTAGTCAACTGATCAATCACTTGAGACTTGAATAGCATTCATTGAAGAGCAGTATTCAGTAGAAAAATGACAAGAATATAAATCAGGAATGCATTTTGGCAATCGTGTTTAGAGCAATAGTTTCTGAGATTTGTTTACCAACTTTGATGGCTCAGCGCAACTTTTAATTAGTTAAATTAATCTGGTGAAACCCATTATAGAAACGAGAAGCACAAAGTAATCAGTGGTAAATTGAATTATTAAATATTTATGTGTACGTTATTTTCTGACACCGTGTTATTAATTGTTGATAATGTAAAGCATTTTATCCAGCCATGTAACACACTCTATGATTTGGAAATTCATCGGTGCACACACGCAGCATCTCATTGAAATATGGATAGTCCTCCGGACACTTTTTCGAGCTCATCGAACGATTATCCTGGCAGATCGTGAACTCCCGGCAGCCCGTGTTAATGGTGGCCACCATTAACTGGTTCCAATTGCCGCAGCGGTCGTAGGAGCAGCTGTTGTCCCTCGGCGCGCCACACCGCTGGCTCCACCACTCAAAGTGCTGTCCCCAAGGACAGCTGCCCCACTGGCCCACGTCGAACTGCGAGGTGCAGGAGTAGTAGCCGTGGCAGGTCATCAGATCCGGCAGGAGCTGCACTCCGTCTTTATCCCTTGGATAGTACTTGGAGCAGATATGATATGCCGTGGAGGGTGGCTTCGGCAAGTTCTCCTCTTCCTTGGAGCAGTAATGTGGCAGCCAGGACTGGCAATTACCCGATTTTCGGTTAAAGTATCGACCGACGGAGCAATTCAACTGGATGCCAAATCCATTGTGGCATTTATAGAAGCTTTGACAGCTATTGGGATCGGCCATAAGTGAGCCATCTTTCATATGGGAGCAGATATTATCCTGCGGACAGCCGGAAACCTCCTCGAGGCAGGTCTGCTGCTTGTTGCTGAACACCTGGCCCACACCACAGTCGCCCCAAGTGGGATCATCAAAATCCTCGCACTTGACGAATCTCCGGCAATCCGCCGGATCGGCTACGTAGTTCCACGGCTGGAGGCTGGCGCAAATCTCCGAGATCTGGGAATGACAAATCGCATTCGATTCCCTCTTACAGGTTGAGTCTCGGAAACTGTACAGTAATCCTTCAGTGCAGCTACGTCGCTCGGTGAGTTTGTTGTCCTGGCAAAATCCCCAGGCCTGGCAGTCACTGGGATCGCCAATGTAGCCGGTTCCAGCCCACAGTTTGCACTTGTCCTCCATCGAAAATCCTCTGATTTCGGCCAGTAAGGCCAAAATTACACCCAAGTGGAATCCACATTGCGCAACTACGATGAGCTATCTTTAGTCTCTGGCCATTCAACACTCCTCTTTTAGTACCTCTCATTTTGATTAGACCGCCAACTGTTCCGGAACTAAACGCGTACTGAACTCGCTTCCCAATCTATTGCTTTATTTAAGAACAGAAACTATCTTGGTCTTGTTTGTAGATACCGAAGCAAGCTGATAAGAGGGAACATATTTTCACAATGAAATTAGAAATGTTTCGGCTGAGTGACAAGCGGATAAGAAAGTGTCGATTACCCTTTCTTGTCAAATGCTCTTGTCAAAATCGTTTTTGGGAAACCCTTTTATTGCACTTGCTCAATTGATAGAGTGTAATGTGAGAAACCTTGTAGATCTCGCAAAATGAATAATAAGTTGCGAAGCTGATGAATTTTAAACAGTGCAGTAACGTGTGTCACTTTCAAATGTTATTTCAGTCAGCAGTTGAATTCAATTTTGTTTAAGCAAATATGTACTTTTACACAAGTTGTTTGCCATGAAAATGTAACAAGGTAGAAGTGAAAAAATCTGTAGCATATTCTGCAAGGCCTTGGCTAAGAAGCGAAATTCTGCAAAAATGTTGATATAAGTTTGTAAGTCGAATAAAAAATAATAGATGTGTATACAGTGAAAAAGTGGGAAGTGCAAAAATTAATATTTGTGGAGCTTTCGCCGAGGAATGGCTAAGAGTGCAAATTTATTGTTAAAACTTCAAAACAACTTCAAAAAAGTTGTATTTTTCCCATAGATGTTAAATAAAACAGCGAAAATGAACATTATTTTCTGTAGTGCAAATTGCAAGCAAAAATTCGCTTATCCAAATACGCTTATCGGAAAATATGAGACGCATGCATAAAGAGAGGTTTGAATGTGTGTGATGGTGATTGTGCTTTTCCGAGTCCTTTGCATTGTTAGCGAACTTCCTGCAGGAAAGTGGAAATATCGGAGGAGGAAAACGACTCGGAATGGGAATGGGAAGGTGCCTCAGTGGCTTGTCGCAACTTAAACTGCTTAGCATCGATTGGGTGCACTTATTGACATTTTATGCTTAAGGACATGCTTAATATCCACAACGTGCCATCCGAACTGCTTCCACTGCGCGCCTTTAAAGTCCTCAGGGTGCTCCAGTGTCGGCACAGTGGAAAAGTTAAATGGTTTTGCCTCCAAATAACTTGAATAGGTTCATCGTGAATAAACTACAAAGTTAAAATTGAACTTATGCGTAACCCCTGTCTTCAAAGCGTACTGAATGTAAGTAGTCAAGTATTCCCCATTTTCAAACTTTAAGATCGTACAATGTTCAACTAAGAATGCTAGGCTAAGAATATAAATATATCTGCCATTTATTTTGTGTTGCCTCTAATTCACCTTAAGTACTTTCACTTCAAAGAGGTTTCCCAGCTCCACAGTAAGTGCGGAAAAGCAGTGAGAAACAGTTGCCATCGGCGGATGCTGTCTAGGGGCATAGACATACGTATCTGTGTGTACTCCTAAATGCAAATGGCTGCCAGGCATGTGCCCCCCACTCCTTTGGCTCTCACCACTTCCGGAACTCAAGGCCGCTGGTCCCAGTGGCGGCGCCGTTAGCTTCCGTTTCCGCCCACTCCTCCGCAGGACATTTATGGTGCTCATCAGCAGCCTCGTCGATGCGGAGACCATCTGGCGGCCACCCGACCAAATACTCGCCGTAATTCTCTTTTCAATCAGTGGCTGGCTGCCTATTCCCCGGGCAGGAGCCAGGCTCCATATCCCCATGTCCCTCCATTCCGCTACACTTACAGTGGCCAATTGTGCGACTGAGACTGAAGCCGAGCACTTCATAAGTTTAAGGATGTACTAAGAAAAAAGGTAGTGCAAAATGTTTAGAAGGATCAATTTTGAAAAGTACTGAAATTCAGTTTTAAGTACTTTTAAAATAGCAATCAAAAGGGCGCTTGTTTTGAAAGAGGCAGTTATTTTATATATTTTGTAGAACTTTAGGAAGAAATATTTTCATTATTCTCCTTGTGTCGAGGGTCCTTCTATCAGTCCATCCATTTGCCACTGCCCCTCTGTCCTGTTCTGGATTTTTGTGCTCCTTTTCGAGGGCTCTTTGTAATTTTCCCCACATGTTCACGGCTTGAATATTTTATGGCCTTAAGTACTTTCGGTTGGAGCCTTTGCCTGGCCTTGTGCGTTTTCACCTTTCACCCCGTACATAAATTCATTAGGTTAGTTTGCTCTTGGCTTCTGGTCATTGTTTGGTGTTTGTTGGGCAAGGAGTTCCACTTGTTGAGACTGGGGCTCCATTAACATACCTGCAATGATAAGAAGCAGGAGGAAAAGTCAGTTTTGGCCGCAACTTGATGATATCAGAAACCCAAAATGGCCTGAGTGAATTCCCTTTTATTTTTATTCGTGAAAGTATCGATTTAAGCTACGCCATAAATATGTAAATTCCGTCTTAATTGAATGATAAATCCATCGCTATTTCCGAAATAATTAAAATATACACGTTCCGTGTTAATGCATCACGTGTTTATTGCAAAATCAATTAAGCTTCAGTTCATGGTTGATTTATGGGCCACAAAATATTAATTATTTTTGATAGTAAACAATTATCCGTGTATTAACTTATAATCTTGATACTTGGCATGCTCTTATTTTCATTCCTTTAAATAGTTGGATACTCGCTTCGTATCTTTAAGTATATAAAATATTCAAGCGCAATTTTGCCAAGCCATAAACCTCAGTAAGCGTTGAAAGCGGACATTAAGCATTTTGCGATAGCGAAACATCTTCAGCACAAGGAGCCACTTGGGCAACAGGAAAAATGAGCTCCCGCAAAGTCAGCAGGTCAAGGATTAACACGCTTCCTCCACCTGTCTCATATAACTCATTTTAATTAGGTTAAATATGCAATAGAAAAATGAAAAGTGCCGAGCCAAGCGAAGCAAGGGGCAAAAGGAGAAGACACAAGCTCCCAGCTTCTGGCCCTTGTAACCCCACCGAGATTCCGGAAAAGTGTTCGCCGGGTGATGGCGATGGGTGGTGTTCATAACAGGCAGGCAGCTCAATGAGATGCAAAGGACGATAAACAAGTCCGCCAGCAAGGAGGATGCTCCGCTGGCGAAATAAGGTCACGGGTCCTCAGCTTGAAGGCGAAGACGCGGCGCTCGGCGGCAAAATGGCCAAAGGAAAACCGCCTGGCCAAAAGGCGGCCACCAAGTCATATTTTCCTTGGCCCAAATGAAAACGCCAAACAAACACGAGCGTAAGAACCGCAGCCAAGCAAGTTGAAATAAGAATTATGGGGGCCTTCCTGCCAGTCGATGGAGGAGTTCGGGATGGGCCACGTACTTGGAGTATTTTGCCAAAATTAAAATTTATGAACAGATAAAAAAGCGTTAATGGCCACTCGCAAAGGTCACGACTGGACATACAGTGGGTCAAGATGGCAGGGTAAGTAGACTGCTACAGCGCTTTTACAGCATTTTAGTTGACTAATCGGTAATAAAATTGTTCTGCACTGCTAAAATAGGGATGATATAATAGCTTATAATAGAAAATTATCATAAAAGAATTCCCGCTTTAAGTTTAAGCACATCTTCCCATGATTTGTATACTAAAAAGTATAATTTTTATATTTGTTTCTCTTGATAGTTAGATGCATACCACTGTGCCGGCTTGGTGTTAGGGTGTTAGAATCTTCCGCGAGCGTGGCAGATGTAGCAGAGTGGCCCGGGATGCGAAGTGGATGTGGCTGGGAGGAAACCACAGCGAGGCAACGACAGCGACCGGCCATAAATGTTGCATTTTTATCGCACGGTCCTACAGAGCTCTAGGTGCCTTTGCCATGGTCCAGATGGGCGCCAAAGTGCCACGCCCCCGCATTTTGCGGGGCTGGGCTGGGCATTATAAGGTGTAGGCACTTTGCCAGGGAGCCACGTGTTGACTTAGTGTGGCGCCACCTGGGGAGAGGTTGCGGCAGCTCAGCCATAAGTTATCAGGGTCAAAGTGCATGGGTGGCGGTCGCAAAGTAAGACAATAAGAAACATGTAGTACTTGAGGTTATACCTCGCCCAATTCTGGCCTTGCACACGTGTCTGTCAGTGAATTATTTGGAAGAGACGCTGGAATTTGGTATTTAGCATTAATAACAGAGCTTACTTTGAATTAGTTCCCTGGAATTTCTTGTATAAATAGAAACATTAAATTTCTTTGTTAAATAAATGAAAGAGCATTTTAGAGCTGCCATGAGCTAACGTGCTAGACATGAGTGAAGTTTCCATTTGGGACATTAAACCCTTGCAATGGGCCTCCATAATTCAAGACCGAGGGACACATGTCTAACTGCCGTGCACACGAGCGATTGCTCCCCTGCAAATGGGAATGGTGGTGTTCAAGGCTCCAAAGTCGCATTTCTCGCTCTTGAAACAATGTCGACTCGTTGACAAGCTCCTCAAGTGCACCTTCGCACACTCCCCAGATGCTTTGTGCCAGGGCCATGGCATCCTCCATCCAACTCGACGATGCTAATGGCATTCGCCAGTTGTTGCTGCTGCTGACATTACTGATGTTGCTGCTGCTGCTTCAAGTGCTGCTGCTACTGCTGCTGCTGCACTCGAAGAAAATATTAGTAAAAGTGCCAAAAAGAACGCACTACGCTTTGTCAGTGTTTCATTGCATTTAAAATCGTATTTTTAAGACTGTTCCTAAGAAGTAATCCGTTTTCATCACTATCACAATCACTAACTCTCATTATTTTTAGTACCCAACTATTTATATATAAATTAAACATTCTACGGCCATGTATCTGCTTAGATTTAAAGCCTTTAGGAAGCAGCGAAAATGTGTGGCCAGAAATTTAAGCACGTTTGTATGGGCGCTTTGTACTTTGTTTGTACTTTGAGACTTTTGGGACAATGCTGTGCTGAGTGTCCTTTCGCAACCGATTTTTCCTTTTCCCGGTCACGCGCTGCTGGATGAAGGGCCGAAAGGAGCACCATGGGCATTGGAGGTGGGAGCCACTTTGGCCAGATGCAAATGCGCGTGAGTGGCGCCTGGGTCAACTTTTTCCATGGCACGGGTTGACTCTGAGATGGGTCTTTGTCGGATTCTCGGGGCGGTCG